TGTGAAGTTTGAAGACTCCTGCATTACAACCACGTGATTGAGAGAAACTGATGGGAGATCTTAGTGAACTTCATGGTCAGTGGAGATTTGAACTTGGGTCTGTCCCATCCAGTTTCTCAATAGTTTAATCTTGCTGGTTCTGGAGGAGATATAGAAGTAGTCCTAATTTGGGTATGACTGCATGAGAAGCTTATTCACTGACTGCTAAACTAGCCATATGAGCTAAATTCATAAAAACATGCTGAACTAAAATATAACTGGCAAATTGTGGCCCAGGATTACTATGTTGTAGGGCTATAGGTTATACAAGGAAGGTACTGAATTTGGGGAGACAGGCAAATATAGTTTGTTTTCAACAAGGAAAGATAGAAATACAGTTTGTATTACAAGTGATACGTTTTATTACACCAATCTTAAGAACATAAAAGCTTTTGTTGGATCACACTCGGGGTTTTTCTAGTTCAATATTGTCATATAAATGTTTATCAGATGTCATCCAAGATGTCACAAGTATCAGTTGTAAAAGCATTAATCCTCTTCCCCTTTTTCTTCCTACAGTTAGCAATTAAAGCTTCTTGTTTAGGAGGTAATGAACAGTCTTCAAAACTAGTAGCCATTGATATATGCTCTTCTACAAGTTTGCCCAACACTGCTTTAAATGGATGCCTATGTCTATTGTTCCCGTGTTCATAATTAAATTATGTCAGTCTTGAATCTCCCGAATGCAAAGAAATATGTATTTTAGTTGAAACAGTAAAGTCTATGAATTGGATATTAAAATTAGCTTCTATTAAAATACCTTCCATGCAAATCTGATGTGGATTTTATTAGATGAAATCTATTTTATTACGCCTTGCTTAAACTGTTGCTTGCCATAAAATGTCACTTACTGAAGATAATTATCTTGGGTGACTTTTTTCCTTTCTTTCTGTAGTTAATGTTATGTGAAATGAAGCCACTTCATGTGGATTCTAGAATATTGTCTCTGACTGCTCAGATTACTGAAAGTCCTGATCAGGATATTCCTGTGTTGCTGCTAAAGTTAAAAGGTAAATTGAGATCATAGGTATAGCTCCATAAGGTAAAACTAAAGCCTGCTCTGTGCTGAGCTTGCTGTGCTATGATTACCATAGGGGTGTTTCCATTGTGGTTACTGGAAAGGGCACTTGTACATACAGAATTTTAGTATGACAGAGAAGACTTGATCATTATGGGAATTATGAGGTTGTTGTGAATCTGAATACAATAGCTGTAAGGAGTGAATGTACTGTTGGACATGTTCTAGTTCTTATTTGTAAAATATTTTTAAACAATCTAGGCTGATATAAAGACTTATGTGGATACATAAACCTCTATTTTTCTTTTTTTTCCATGCCCCTTTTTTTCTAAATTAATTTTAATGTATTTGTAATTTACATGATAAATCTTGGTGGTTTGGGTGTTTACAAAATTTATAATTATGCAGGAAATGAGATGTTGGAAGGCAAATAAGGAAAAGGGGGGAAATAATACTTGAGGCACTAAGATTGGAAACCAAGGGGAAGAAACTGAAGTTATTCATATATTTCTAAATTGAAAAAAAAGGGCTCAGTTTATAACAATGCTTCATATGATACCTTGACCCATTAATTAATCATGGGATGAGAATTGGAATGAGTTTCTGTATCTTTATATCTTATAACAAATAATTGTATGATATGAATTATGTAAAAAGAGAGCCAATTATGAAGTGCACATAATAAAATTACATGGAGAGCCAGGAGTTAGTGAAAAGTTAGGAATTTGGTAGTATGTTTTCTGACTACATAACAATTTTTATAAAAAGTCATAAGCTTGATCAAATCCATGCATCTGATGAGGCAATGAAATTAGCTCATGAAAGCTTAATATCATTTTATAAATGTTTTACTCAGAAAAAGTATACCAGACTTATAATAAGAACTAGTATTGATCTGTTAGCAAATCAGATGCATGTTTGCTCAATACATTGAACCATAATAAACTGGTCAGCCATATTTTAGCTGTGGCTGTGCTCTGCAAACTCACTATAAATGGTGAATTTATAGTTCAGAGTATTACACAAGTCTAGAAAATCAGGTTTTGTAAATTATGGTTACCTTAATCATGGTAAGCATATTATGCAAATACTCTGAACAAAATGAGACCGGGAATAAACCACAGTATCATTTCAGTTGGAGAAACTGTCAGTTGCTAGAGGGCTGCTCTCCAGTAAAGGAAGTTACAGCCAAAGTTGGTTCATTTCAGCTGTGCAGAATAAGGAACTTACCTTCTGGTTACCAGAATTCCAACTCAAAATTAGTCTCATACTACTGTATCATGGACACTGTGCACATATCGTATGTTCAAAGCATTTTCTCATTGACTAAACAGTGGTTTTTCCCTGTGGTGCATCATTTCACCCAGTTAAATGTTACAGAAAGCAGAATTTTAGTATTATATAGATAGATGTTCCAATTTATTACCTAATTTTGTGTTTTTGCTATGCTCCCTTCTGACCTGTCTTGCAGCCCTCTGTATTTGTTATTTGTAGAGGGATCCAAACCTAAGCAGTTCATTTTTTTTTTCTTAGAAATTTTAACGAGTGCATCCCCAGGAAGTAATGAATCAAAGAAAATTAAACAAGACTTATACTATTGTGATCTAGTCCAGTACTGTCTACTAGTCCTTAAGCAAGATTATACAAGAGTGCCCGGAGGATGGACTACTGCTGCCCA